ATTAGTAAGACGAATGGGGCCCAAAGGATTAATCAGGGCGGGTTGGATGATTTAACGGATGATTTGTAGTGTCGAATTTTGCCTGACATCCATGTATATTCCTAATTTGCCGATTATCCCGCTTCGAAGCGATAAACAACGAGCGAATCATTTAAAGGATTTTCTTTCATTCTTCTTCTCGAGATGATGGAAACAAAGAACACCGTGATAAAATTGGAAATAATCTGGTAATAGTTGAATGAGAGAATTTCACAGAGATCGGCCAATTTTTCATACCCCACCCACATTTCCAGTAATTACGAGCCGTTTGCTTCGAACACATAATATAGAAGCGAAGTACAATATCCAACAATACAAACCGATATTTCTACCTTCCCCGCGATTACCGGCAAAATTAATTGGACCGGCGACCGTGCAACTTTGTTGATATCATACATTCCATAGACGCGAAACCACGAAGGTTATTGGTCTCTTTTGAAAAATGGCCATTGATTTATCGCATCGACTTTTGAAACTCTCGATTAATTTCATCGAGGATGATCATTTCGATCCTACTTTCTTCTTCGATGTGTTATACTACATATCGAAAAGAGAACAGGTGAAATCGGCTTTTCAAGACCCTCGTAAATATTCTTTGGATATCTGCAACGTTGATCAAAAGAACAAAAGATCGAACGAATGATTTTCTTAGCAAGTTCGAATTACAGTTAATATGCGGTGATATCCTTTCGACGACGACAAGCGCAATTCGACGTAAGGAGAGAGTTATAAAATCTAAAAAATCTACAGAAATACGTCAGTTCGCAGCGGTATTCTTTTGACAAGCGAAAAATACTCCTTTTGCATCTTTGTTATCACACACGAAAAACCGTGGGGAGAATCGAACGAATTTTTCTTATAAATAAACCACGAAACGCCAGTTCTCAAAATATATACGGTAACAACACGGTTTAGAAGTTGGCTGGATAAACAACTAGCGACACTCGTGTGAAAAAGCGAAATTACTTTTCGAACGACCCAATAAAAAAAGGAAAAATCTATCGATGCAAGTTTCATTCTTTGAAAAGGACTTGCATAGATCAAGAATCACGAAACGTCCGCAAAATTAGACAAGTTTTCGCGTATCCTTTAGCACGATAAATATATATTATAAGGATAAGAAAAGAATCTCCGGCATGGAGACCCCCTTTTCTCGAGTTTCGAATCGACGATCGTGCAATTTGAAATTCGTGGCGAATTCCATTCTGGCACATTCCCAGGCAGGGTCGAGGTATTTATATAGAGGGTGCAATCTACCCTTTGGTGGATAACAGCTGATACCGATTCTGTTTGGTCTGCCACTTGATAGAGAGTTCCTGACCGCGGACATTATCCATTTCGGTGCCGGTTCCCTGCATAGGTTAAACCGAATGGATTAGAACCCATCAGGGAATGACCGATTAAAGGAGGCAGCGATCCGATTTCCCAGTCGATCGTCCGTGATAATTTTAACGTTTCTCCTTAACATTTATTACGGCCGAGTTCCTCGCGTGTTTTTCCCGATCGATCGCCAGCCGATCTTTCAGATCCGAATTGTCAGATCCGAGCCAGCTGAGATGGGCGAAAGATTTCTTAGATTTAACATTAACATTAACAATTTTGTTTTATCCGTTATATTTCTCCTATATCTCTCGATAATAATAAAAAGATTGAAATTAGGCGTAGCATGCCTGTAAACCATTTTTCTCAACACCATTTACGGGACGTAGTTACGGATCGTTGAACAGGAACAATTGATTTACTAGAATCACGCGTGAGTTTTTTAAAGCAACACTTGGTGGAGAGGGAGAGTTTGTTGCGCGCCTATGACAGACGGCGTGTTAAGATTACACACTCGTGTGCTCGTTGTTGCAGCGTATAAATCACAAGGAAAACGTTATAAAACCTGGCCAGCCCCCGATAAGCTGCTGTTAGATTCGTCGAGCACGCTTTCCAGACACATTCACCCCTCTCTTCTCGGATAATTAAAAAAAAAAAGAAATGCATGACTTTTCGCGATACACGCTCGGGTTACGCGATACACGACACCCACCATATTCTTTTTTATTAATTAGAACGATCAATTTTTCCGTAACTGCTCTCCGCGCATCGACGAATCGTAATCCGTTTAATTGTGAGAAATATCGTAAAAATATTAGAACGATATTCTCCGGTACGGATTATTTCTGAAACTCGAAGAAAGATTATCGCAAATTATCGCAAGAAATTATTTCTACGCAATTATCGTTGTTGAAAATTGTTACAAGTTTAGTTACAATCATCAACGATCATCGAGATATCAATCAAAGAAAAAAAGAAATGTTTTAACCATCAGAGAGGGAAAAGAAAACGTCGATTGGTTGGTATTACAAAAACTTGCTGTGAAAAGCCTTTACAATTTACCATCGGATAGGAATTTCTGGCGCAAACAAATTTCAAACAGGGGTGAAACGATGCGCGTGGCATTTTGTAATGGGGAAAAATCTCGAGGGGGAGGAGAAAGGAAGGGCGAGGAAGAGGAGGATACGAGGGAGACACCCAGAATCGAGGTTTCTCTCCCTCCCCCATTAAAGGGAAGGAACCACCCTGCTGAACGGAATTGCCGTCATTCATCGTTCGGGCGGGAGGCTGGTGATGCCATCAGCGCAAATTACACGGCGCATTTTACGTCACAAATAGCGGCGTTGCGTGGCATTTGCTGGTCGCGGACTCATTAAACGAGCCTTTCGCTCTCGTAATGCCTCTCGACAACCGCGTTGCTCCGACGAGCGGCGGCGCAACTCCTTCCTCTCTCCCCTCCTCTCCTCCCCGCGGTGCGTCACGCCGCCCGCGTAAATAAAACCCGGTTGTTGCCCCCTCTTTTTCGCGAAGGGATTATCGTGAAATTCGTTGGGCGACGACGTGTAAAATCTTGTTGATCGTCGAGAGGATGTAAAATATCTCGAGAGGAAGGAAGGAAGGAAGGAAGGAAGGAGAAGAGAGAAAAAAGTTGACATTTTGTGGAATAATAACGATAGGTATCGGTGATGGATTTTTGGAGAGATTCTTTCGATAAATTTACGAAAAATTTATTACGAAATTTTGAAAGATAGGGGAATTTTGTCGAACTCTCTCGCAACTCTCGAAGCTCCGATGGAAGTTTCCTGTTATCGCCACGCCATCCAATTTTCTTTTGGTGGTTGGTCGTCGTGTATGTTCGTATGCGCATATTAAAGTTAATTAAACATCGACGGTAAAGTCGGCGACAAGCGTTGGGAGGGTAGTTTGCGAGACGTGATCAATTAGGGATAGAATCAGCTGGTTTAACCCCCATTGGCAGTTTCCAACTGTAGGGAATTATCGTTCGGTCGGGTTGGCGATAAGCTTGGAACCCTCTGGCCAGATTACTTCGTTGTTTTTCCCCCACCCTCCAAGGATCGATTTGTCTTCCATGCGCTGAAACATTTCCCCCGACCGCCTTCCGCTCACGCGACCATAACCACACCGAACACACCCGAGAAATGATTTTCCAGAGGGTTTTAATTTTTAATTCCTCCGATCGGTTGTTATTCGGGCTTGGAAAAAATTTACTTCGAGAACCTTGATTTCTTTTCTATGAGAATGAAATTATATAATTGTCCTGATTTTACTCTTCTATTTTTTTTCAATAACGATATTATTTGCAAAGAAGAAGAGGCAAGATTGTTAAGATTCGAGAATGTATCAGTAATTTTCATCGATTCACAGCGTCGCGAGAAGAGAAACGGGGAATTGGACTGTGGGAATTGGACGAGAGAGAGAGAGAGAGAGAGAGAAGTTGGCTCTCTGGCAGAGCGAAGTTAAGAACAGAGTACAAAGCGATAGTTCGAAACGATACTTCTACTCGAATTGAGCTGGAATCAAAGTAAGTAGGTTTAAACGTGTCGATTCCGGGGTTGGTAGGATCGCAATTGTCGTTCGAAAATGAGTTTAAATTTTCAACTTGTCGTCTCGTTTCTTGGCGGAAAGTCAAAATGTCTTGATACAAGATTGAACCGTAGCGAGAGGATTATCCGAGGATGACACGATCGTAACATTTTATAGCAACATCATCCCTTCGCGTGGAAAGGTTTCTTTCACAGCGAAGGAAGCCGATAAAAAACGTGAGAACGATCTCCAAAGCGATTTTCCCGGCTGGGTACGAAGTATCGTGGATACCACTAGGGGGTGTCGTGGGGGGTTGCCCTTTATCGGCGAATTCGAGCAGACTCTAGAGGGCTCGAGAGACTCGGGCGAGGAAGGGTTGGCGCGCCGCTTGAAACCAACTCCGCCGGAACCCGCGTTTTTTTATTACGCCTTGGCTCCATTCACCTCTTCGTTTACATCTAACGCTTTAATCTTGGATGTTCCATCAGTTATTTCTAGACGCGGTTGTTAAAAGGGTTAGCCTGGCCCGACGCTAATTATTCCTAACGGTCGGCCGAATAAAACACACCCCCATCCCCGGACACGCTGCAAGCCAGGGGTGGATTACCCGCCGTGATTCGATTAAAGAGACGCGATTCCTCTGCCCGAAGAAACCTCTCTTTTGATCCCCACCCCTATCTCTTCCACCGTGTATCGCCAACTCCCTGCTTTTAATATTCAAATAAACCACCGCCCTCGCCTTCGATATCTCTCCCGAAACGTTCGCCAAACACGCCGTCCCCTCGCCTCTCTTTTACGGCCGACAGTGGATCGAAATCTGGTTCGACGTTGTGTTTACTCTCCTTTCGAAAATACGGGATTCGTCGATGGAATACGCGTCGAGAAATGTAACCGATTTATAAACAGGATGCGATTTACAAATATTATTGAATTGCGCATTTTAATAAATCGCGTCGTTTTTGAAACGATTATTTATCGATATCGTCTGAAAATTCGTTCGAATCTTACCGCGCGTTTCTCTTCTCGGAATTTAGGACACATTTCCTGGGTTTTACTTTAATTTTATTTTCGTCCTAAAAGCGAGTAAAGCTGTTTTCCTTTTTCTTTTGCTAGGTTAATTAAAGAAGAAGGGGAAGGGGAAGGAGAAAAGTACTCACCGTCTGGCACCGCGTGGCTGGTCATCAAGAATTAACGCAGGCTGCCCCTGTACCGTGTCCAATCAACGTCACGTTCCTAGGATCGCCGCCGAAGTTGCCGATGTTCTCCTGCACCCAATGGAGCGCCGCGATTTGATCCATCAGACCGTAATTCGCCGGCGAGCGTAAGTGCGAATCCGTGTTAGCGTTTAGAAAGCCTGTAATCGAGACAAGCCTGGTTATGTTTGTTCGGCGCACGATCTAAGTGTATCGCGACTCCTTCCCAATTACTCCCCCGATCGAGTAAAATACCCACCTACTATTACTACTACGCTTCCTTTCCCCCCCTCTCTTCTTTTTATTCCAATTTAAAGAAATGTCCGGAAAACGACATTTTCATCCCTGACTCGGACTTCCGTCGACGATTTTTCCGATCGAAATTTCCTCGAATTTCTTGGAATCTCTTCGTATTTCAAAGCATTTTAGCAATGGATAACGACGGATGGATTCAAATGGGTTTTCAACGAGTTCGAAAACGAGAAAATGGCGAAAAAGAGAAGGTATCGGTTCGAAACGACTGTTCTTGACCCAGACTGGGACTCGAATTCCGGCTTAAATCCGCTTGTAAACGCGTGTAAACGAATACAGGGGCTCCCAAGGAAGGAGCGGCCCGGCTCAAAGGGAACGAAGCCACTTCAACCCCTTCCCTTCGCCGGCGAAAGACACTTTTGACCGAGCAGCCACGGCTTTCCCGCTCTCTTCTTCTCACGATCCTGCTCATCCGTAAATACTATTTTCAATGGGCCGGTATCGATTGATATCTCGTCCTCCCCTTCCTCCTGCCCCGCGCTATGCAAAATAGAACACCCCGCCGGCGGGGAATAAATCGCTCGATTATTTGATCAGCGAATGCGGCCGAATTCATTGCCGTTTAATTGGACCCGATCGGTTTCGAGAATTTCTCGCTTGATTTTTTCCCCTTCTTCTCCACACCCCTGTCCACGTCTGTCAAAAATATCCATACTATTAATGGTCGAACGGATCGTCGAAGTGGGTAGAATATTTTTATCCCGTTTAAAAATGTTTAACGCGATGCACGAGATTTTTACAGAGAGAATTCCTTTTTTTTTTTTTTTTTTCGATTTGAAATTTTTATTTCCCCTCCGATACAATTGTGCGTGCGTGTCGGTGTCGGATAAATACCATCGTAAGGATTTATTCGATATTTCCCTCCCCCCCCCCCAGAGTTTGCTTATTGGAAAAAAGAGAGGGGAGGTTGGTCCGGAACAAAGGGAGAAGTTTGGTGGAAAGGGATGGGGTGGAGAGGAAGAGAGGTAACGATAATTCAACTGCGTACAGTAAGTCAAACTTCGGAATGATAACTCGGAACATCTGTTGCGATACTTAGCGAAGCAATAAAGAGTTTAATGAGTTTCGGTGTTCGAGTTAAACTTTCCTAGTTCCGGCCACCCAGTTAAGAAGCTTTAACTTGAAAAGCTCGGTCTTATTGGACTACAATGATTGGAACCGACGGTGAAAAGATGCGTGAAACAGCGTGGAGTGGGAACGGAGGAGGGAGAAAGATCAGAAGAAGAAGGGAAGAAAGAAAGGAGAGAAAGAAAGAAACAGGTACTGTTACATTTCACGATCTTATGTATCAAATTAATTTAGCAAATTAAAACGCATATTAATTTAGTTAGCACGTTTACCTTTTCCTTTTTTCCCAAATTGAACGAAAAAGTAACGAAATTCGTTTTCGTTTCGTTTGGAACGAATAAACAAATAAGGGAGAGGCGCTGGAAGGGTGGAAGGTTTCTTTCAAAAATTCGAACAATACACTCGACTCGATTCGCACCCTTAACCATTTTATCCCCCTCAACGATTGCTCGTTTGCGCGGCGATAAACGGAATGACTCCCCTCTTGGAAATTCCTTTCGACCAAGCCCCCGCTTTGTCCCCTCCGCATTTTTCCACCGGTGTCGACGAGCCAGCCGAATTATCGGTTTGGCACCGGTTCCGGGGAAACAGGCGGTGGGACGACGTTGACCTATTTCGTTCATCCGTGAACGAGGATTCCTTTTGCGGAAACTGATGCGAACCCCCGGAACGTACGTCACACGGTACTCTGGACACCCTCTCTCTCGGTATAGTGGATGGATTCGAGGGAAAAAGGAGGTTTTTCGTTTCGAGGTTGGGATTCGAATAATTTCTCGAATCTTTATGGAATTTTTGGCGAACGTGTCTCGCCGGGATACGTTATATTTTTATGGGGTTAAGTTAATGGTTCATTTGGGAAATCGGTAACGGTTTATAGATTTTGGTGGAAAGAAACGTGGAAAGAGTCTATTTTTTTTAAGAAATCGTTACGGGTTTGGATTTTTTTTTCTTTTTTTTTTTCTCGAAGAAAAGTAGCAAAGAAGGATCTAGGAGAAGAGAGTTTTTAAATTGGCGATTCGTTGGCGATAATTTTACAAAAATTTTCACGCTTGATAAAAATTCCGCGAGATATTACGATATTATTGAATTTCGTTCGGTTTGTTTCAGCGAATCGACGATATTCGAAATTTCGTAAAATTGTAAAATTCATTGGCTATTTTATTATACGTTAATGAAGACTGCGCGACTAATAACGTTGAAAGTAATTAACGCACACGATCGATCTTGAAACAATAGTGTAAATTATCTCGGCGTTCTCGTCGACAACGATATCGGAAAATCGGTATTTCCAAAATTCTTGGTCGGCTTGCAACCAAGTTGCAAATTAATTCCAATCTTTTCAACGCGACGGTCTTCCAGATTAATACGTTTCGATGTTCACGCTTTATCCGACCTTGCTAACCTTGTCGCGAATTCAATCAACTCGGGACCTCGATGCATACATGTCGTTGTGTACGACTCGTTCAGATGAGAATCGAAAGTATAATCCTTTTTAATTTAAGTAGTAACCCAGTTTTTCGAAGTGGGGTTTTTCAACGAGTTATTGGTTTCACTTCACGTGAAATATCACCGTTCTTCGAATCCCAACCGAGTTAGTTTCTTAAGTTTCCAACTGCTCGAAAGTACGATGGAAATACGGTGGAAATTATTTTCTTCATTTTTAACGAAGTCGAAAGTACTTTACCAATGATAACACGAAACATAATTATTTAATGCAATCTTGCACAGGCAAACTTGCAGGGGAACGAAAATAATAATTCAAAAATAGTTCCGTCTACTCTTAGTGCAGATAAATCTCAAATCAAAAGAAACGAGAAAGAAATTTAAAAATATCGCTTCGAATAACGCTTTGCCCCGCCGTGTTTTTAACGAAAGTGTTAAATAAAAGGTATATGCAAGAAGAAAGGAACGCTCTTCTTCGGGGAAAAGAAAGTTGAAAAGTATCGATCATTGTTTCCCTTGCTCCTCGAACGAGACCTGTTCGCCACGTTGGAAAGGGTTGAAAAAAATTTCCAGGACCCGAACAAAGAGGAGGGATGTTCGTTTTGGCCACGTCTCGACCACGTACGAAGTTGGGAAATAATTCGACGGACGGCGCGACATTAAGCGAAATTGCCAAGAATAATATAGGAATTTACATTTAATTTCGAGAAATGGAAGTGGACCGGGGAGCAAAGGGATACGCGAGGTACGTGCAACGAATTTCTTCTCGACCTGAATTCGCAGACAATTTTCCCGGCGCACGATCGCCGATAAATTAATTTCCCGTCAATTAACCGGATCTCTCCAAATTAATTCTTTCGCTTCGCGTTTTCGACGGCCACGAAAATGTACTTCTTTATCGAATGAGGGGGGAAAAAGGATTCTAAGAATCCGAAGAGGTTGAGAAATTTAAGATATTTAACCCGGCACGCTTGTTTCGACTTGTGTTTCGATCCCATTGTCTCGATCTTTTCCCTCGAACGTTCCGTTGAAAATTCGTGGACGAGTTGCTGGTCCCAGCAATTCGAAAGAACACTCTCCGTTGTATTAAAATAACGGCGGCCATCTTCCTTGAGATGAATTGGCGAAGAGCGAATGAGGAACGAGTCGTAAGGATACTGGAAAATATTGGAGAGATATGAAATTAATTGAAACGTTCAGTCTTCACGGATACAAGTAAAAGCGCTCGTTAACGGTGACTCGTTCGTTGATCAATCTTTTGCCGAGATGCTGTACTTTCGAATGTGGAATTCATTCTACGATGAAAAAATTCCGAAACAAACGCTTTCGATGAAAAATTTAATCAAACAGTCCGTGACGGTAATTTAAACGATTTCTTCAAACTCCTTTGACGTAAAAATCGGAGATTATTTTAAACAATCTTGTACGATTCTACGTTTCAATCAATATTTCGTTGTATTATAGATAAGTATTACGGAAAAAAAAAAAAAGAAGAAGAAAGAAAAAAGAAAAAAATCATGGATAGTTAAAAGGGAAATTAATATTTAAAAAAAGAATCGATTTATAATACATTTTATAGTACACACGCTTTCAAAGAGCGATAATGAAACGAAATAAAATTTATTTATCCGATGGGATACCGAAGGTATTAATAAATTTCGGCCAATGTTCGTCGGTTCGTTGAACTCGTCACCCTCAATTTCGGTGCATAGTTTGAAATAATCGATGAAAACGAGATTTAAAACAACGCTTCTAAACAATGAATACGTATATCTGATTCACAATTTTTGTCGGATGATATACACACACACATATATATATATATATATATCGCGATTGCAATTTTCTAGGATTTCCTTTCATCTCTCTCTCTCTCTCTCTCTTTCACTTGCACTCTCCGCACATCCGGTACAACGTTTGATTGATGATGTTTCCAACTGTATTACCAAACACGCATTCGTTTTAAACCTTTGATCCCTGCACCCGATCCGAATAGACGCGATAAATGTTAAACACCACCGGTTATCCACGCGGAGGGGGGCGAACAACGAAATCGAATTGCAAAAAAAAAAAACATATATCGGGAAAACAATGATTTGTTGTGAAAATTTAGTAGAACTCGAAGCTTCTTTATCTATCTACGAACGTCTGTCTGTCTATGAACAGTACAACGGAATTAGAATTATGGAATTTTCGTTTAGAAAATTCTCGAGAGAGAGAGAGAGAGAGAGAGAGAGAAGGATAATAAAAATAAAATAAAAAAAAATAACAAGAGAAG